GCATGGATGCAGAGGGAGAGAGAGAATCTTAAGCCGGTTCCACATCCAGCACAGAGCCCCACTCGGAGCTCGATCTCATGACCCTGAGATCATGACCTGAGCCAAAATCAAGGGTTGGATGCCCAACCGACTGAGCCACTGAGGCGCCCCACTATTAAGTCTTACAAAAATGTGGATTTATGCCCTTAATTGAAAATATCTTAAACCCAACTTCCAAAAATGTGTCTGATATCAACCCCCTGGGGAGTATGAAGAGTAGTTTTCTAACCAAACATGTTCTGGAGAGATTTCTCAACTTCCACAGGAAGGCAACTCCTACACCAAACTCCCTGGATCATTAAAACACAGGGATATTTAGATAGGAATACTTAGCAACAGAGATTCTCCACATGTAGGCTATTTGCTAAAGATATTACCAAGAATTTTCTGCTGACCAACAGTTATCAAAACTCAGCTGTAAAAAATAATATTATTATAGGGGATTATCAGAAGGGTATGTATAGTATCTCCTCCTCTACTAAATTTTAATCTTTGATTAAATTTGATGATGAGAAATCTAATTTCTGAACAGAGGAATGTTATAAGAGGCAGTACCATGAAATTCATTTGTTGTATTTATTTTGGAGATGTTTCTGCAGACACTGTTACTGATATAGCACAGTATCATCTTAATAAGAATCCACAGAAGTAATCAAGTACTAAGGGCTTTATTATCTCATATAATTGCTCCGTATATAAGTTTTGTTATCCCACTGATCACATAAGGAAACTAGAGCTCATAAAGGTTAAACAACTTAGCCAAGTTCACTGAGCTAGTAAGTGGCAGAGCCTGGATTCTAATCTCTATCTCTCTCATTTCAAAGCCTGTTCTGCTATGCTGTAAGAGCTTAGGAGTGCAGCAAAGTGGGTGATCTCTCTCTAGGAGGAAGGAGAAAGCTAGATGAAGAAGGAGATGGGTAACATAGGTAGAGGGAAACTATATTTAAAAATAAGAATAGCATTAGGATAAAGACTTCAGGTGGAAGAGAGATGATTTAGCATTAAGGAATAAGATGCTAATAACTTTATACTTACAGGCATAATTTGACACAAGTCGTCAGTGGTCACACTGCAGATGCCTACTGGTATATTTTGATCACTAGGAATGATGGGAGGGCTCAATAATTTCTTGTAACAGCAGGGGGGGAAACGAATATCCAAGGTAATGCTGTTATAAACAGCTAGTCCCATAAGCTATGCATACTGAATGTTAAGCATTAACATAAAATCCATGACAAGAAATGAGTTTTGAATTATGCATCAGTCTATTTCTTGCATACTTCTTTCAGACCTAACACTGATTTTAATTAATCCCACATACTTCTTTTTCTTTATTTTCCCTTTATTTTACAGAATATAATTCCTTGATTACCAAAAGTCATGGGAAAAGGGGGGCGGGGTCGGTTGACAGTATTTGATGATTTCCCCAGGAAAATTTATCTAAGATCACAACAGACAGCAATTTCAGACATTTCATAAATTATTTGACATACAAGAAAACACTTTCTAAATTTATTCTAAATTTAAATGATGTTGGTGATTTTATAATTAGAAGGAGCAATTTATTCAGAACCCAATGCAGAATACACTACTAATTTTGGTTATCATTTTAACTATTTTAAAACTAAATACAGACTATGTAAAGAGAGCTGAACCGAATAAACATATGGACATGGACAATTACACACACATACACACAGATGTACGCACACGCTACTGATAGGCTAACAAGACAATTACTCTCCTACAGAAATACTTGAAAGGCTTTTATTACTTGGAGTGTACCCAAAGTGTTGAGGTTAAAAACTACAGATGTTATATATATATAAACCCTGCCCAATTACATTTTATTTATTACTTATATGGCAGAATGTAACTTATCCATTTGCTGAAAGAGGGGTTTTAAATGTCATATTTCAGCTGTCAAATAAAGAGTATTATATCAAGTTATTAAAGAAGTCATTAATTTTATAGGCTCAAAAGGAAATCTAAACATATGGGCTGGATAAATTACTGAAAATAATTTTTAAAAATTGGAAGACAGCGAATATTTCAATTTGCCAAGGCAGAATGAAAGTTAATAGTAATTTAAGGAATAGATATATTATTTTATAGGTAACCGTATCAACAGAGACCGAGCATTGTATTCTAGAGAGAGATACTGAAAATGAGATCTAATATACTTCCATACTTGTGATAATAGCAACAATGATAGTGACCATAATACTATGATGGTTACCATTTATGATCATCTACCACAGGGACAAGTTCTAAGCATTTTTCATTAAAACTTAAAAAAAAAAAATTATAACCCTAAAGGCAGGTTCTTAGCAGATGAGGAAGTAGCCCCGTAAGATTTGCCACAGGGCAGTTTCATATGCAGACTACAGTGTTTCATTTCACACTAAGTCAGCCCGTGCTGGTTGAAGCAAGGACGAGACGAGGATGGGGAAATTCCACTGGACCACTGAGGCATCAGGTGGTGCAAACAGGGTAGATTTTAAAAACCCTGTTTCAATGGCCCTTTTGGTGAAAGCATTTCTAGTTTAAAAAAATTGTTATATTATGGCTCTTCATGCAATCTTCAAAACATTTTATAATTATTATTACAGGTTTCACTATATAACATTTCTTGTAAACTCCGAAGCCTTACTATATTTAAAACTGAAGTATTAGGAATGCAATGCTGGCAGGACTACTAGAACAACAAATCTCTGGTCCTGAAACTTAAAGTGAAAATATGTACAGAACCAACTATATTTTCTCAATATAGAATGTGTGTTCTCAATTTTTACTTCTCACCTTTGTTAGATCTATCACCTACTTACATGATCATAATCCATTATCATGTCACATTTTTCCTATATATTTCCTATACATTATCATGCTTTTTGGGCATCAATCTCACTTTTTATAGTATTTTTGTGAGTGTGCATGTGAGATAAATACACATAATAATGAGATAGTAGTGGCTATAATCATTTAAGTTTAGATTTAATTAATTAACTGGAAATATGCAGCATATGTAAATATTCTTAATGTGCTCACTCTTTTGGGTAATGATTCAATAGAAACTAGTGCCTACTGCAAAAGAAGCCAATTAGTAAACTTATGATTTTATGGATAGCACCATTCTAAAAATGTGATTTAAGCTAAATAAGATCTAATACTGCATTATAAATATTAGAAAGTCAAAATATCATCCAAATCTAAGCTGTGATAAGAATGTAAAGTATGACAAACATATATATCAGGGAATTCAAATAGCTCGTAGTGTAGTGAGAAGTATTGGTGACTCAGGCCTTCAATGAAACTGAAACATTCAACAAATGATTACTGTAGATAACACTATAAATATAGACGTCTAAGAACTGATGAGCACTCCAGATTGTGGAACTTGGTGCTCTGGACCTTTGGACATGACGACATATATAAAATTTCAAAGTAGTTTACCATCTTAATGTGCAGTTTTCTCCCTGCTAACTTTTCTTCCATCCACTTTCCCAATCTTAATATACATTCCTCAGGATTTATTTCAACAAATGCAACTGAACATTCCAAGCCCTAAGATCACTCCTGATTCCTTTGCTCAAGGTGTCCTCTGTAACTCAGGGTGCCCTCTGCTTCAATCAAGGGGCCTGCACACTTCTCTGTAACAAGCCCAGGACAATGCAGCCTGGTTTCTAGCCATTCTCCTAAGTCTGTGTCCTACTCTCTCCAGCCCTGTGCTAATCAGATAGAACTGTTCCATTGTTAAACCTCTACCTTGTCTGGGAAGAATACACTGACTCTTTTCCTTCTCAGAACTCCTTAGCACTTAATGTCAAAGAGTCATGAATCAGATGACCTTGAATTGGTGGTCATCTGCCCAGCTAGATGGTAAACATTTTAAAGCTGGATATTTTCCCCTCTTTTAACATAGGTATCTCCAGTGCTTGCTCATTTATTTACTCTTCCCTCCTTTCTTCCACAGACAATTATATTTCTTAAAATTAAAAAAGTTAATGTGGCAGGTATCTTTTCCAATCCCCTACCCAATGCAGGAATGTCGTCTCCACTACACCTGATAGGGATCAGAGGATGGCACAGGGATTTATATAATTTTAAAAACACTATACAATAATGCCATATACTTTCAATATTCCCATTCCATTCAGTTTTTAATTTGTGTGGACGTTTCCAGAGTTAAGGGCATATTAAAGACCTAGATTTAATTTCCACAATTTCAATTTATTAAACTAAGCGAAATAAGCACAAAGTAAAAGAACAGAAAAATAGCTCATTACGAATGGAAAATATACTTTAATTTTAAAAATGTCCTAATTTTCTGATAAATCAGATAATATATGAAATAGGAAATAACTGTTTTTATTTTGAGATATTTTCAGAGAAAAATATAAAAAATTCATAATTCCTTTTAATTAATTAAGTCTGGTGACATACAGCTGTGATACTGCAAATAACTGAAAATCTATTAGTAATTTTGACAAGAATGTTAAATCTGAATAAAAGGCTTAATGTGAACAGCTTTCCAGAATTCAGATAAAATTTAAAATCTCTAGTGTACTAGCACCTCCTAGTGGAACGTTTAAAGGATACAATTCCAACCAATCGGAATTCAGAATAGTTATCACATTTAAAACTGCTAAACCAATGGCAGTGTGAATCCTTGTGATATGTAAACATGCCTGAAAAAAAGAAACATAATTTCATTAGCATGACTGATTAAAAAAAATCAAAGTACTAAAAATGTACATAATATCTCATCTATTAGAAGCAAGACATTTCAGCAATAGTTCCATTACAGACCATCTTTCATGTTAAAATATATAAAATATATGCACAATGATGTGTAAGAGCATTTTACTGTTTATTGGCATCCTGAACCAAGGGTATAAATGGGTTAAAAAGAGAAAACTAAATCAGTTGATTTTCTTTTATAAAAACGATAGTTTTATAAGTTATGATCAAAATTAATTTTGAGGATTATCTGGAGATTTTAATTCATCCATGTCATCTCTATTTTCCATTGCCAGAAAGAGGTTATATATACATATATACAAAACAAAGAGTAAGAAAAACACTTAAAACTCTCTTTGAAGAAAAATCTTTTATAGACACTAAGGATTATATAGGTGTTTTCTCTAAATAAGATAAAATTTAAATTTCAAAGCTTACTTTTGTCTTAAAAATTAATTAATGAATTCTTATTTATCAAAATGGCTCAAAATCTAGTGGAAGAGGCTTCAAATATTAGTGTAGAGCAAACTACAGTCTTGTTTTTAAATTCTGAATGTTCTTTATTTCAATGACAAATTTTTATGCATTTAGTTTATTCAGGAAAGATGAGGATGCTGCCTTGCAAATATATACTTTCAGTCTTTATTGTGTAGGATTCCCGGTAAGATAATGAACATTTCAATCATCAGTTTGCTCACTTTTAAAAATGTAAATAACAATCCTTAAATTACTCAACATTTATGGTTGACAAAAAAATCTATAAAGTCATAGGGTAGGTTAAAAATAAGAGTGCCTACTTAATCTAACAATTATGAAGAAACACGGTTCATAAAAACTGAATACTCACCATAATCTGGATGAAAAATTTGGCGAGTTAGAAGAAGGAACCATTCTTTAGTCAAGCCACCCATGTCCAAACCAGCTTCCCCTACAAATGTAACTTTCAGCTTCTTTTTTAAGTCTGCTCTTTTCCGGGTTAACTATTTGAAAAAATTATATGGTAGAGAAGAACAAAGGGCAGTAAAAAGGAAATTAACTTTTTTAATTCTGGGAAATGCATTAGGCAATCTTTATCTTTATTTATCATGTCACAAAACTCACTCCATCCATTCATCCAGTAATTTGTCAGTTACTGTGTGAATTAAACATTATTATGTTTGTTGTAGAGATCAAGAGAAAGAATTAGAGGGTCAAGTACCTTGCCCAAAGTTCCTGTCTCCTGGTATCATATTGCCTCCAAGATTTTAATTTAGCAGGTTATATCATAAAATATTTCATTTCCTTTTCTTTAACTTTCCTTCCTGATTTTAAAAATCACATAATGAAATTAGCCATTATCTTATAATAGCCACATGAAGATCTGGCTGAAGCACTGTACATACATGAAGCTCCGTACAAAGTAGGTTTGGGCCTGAGTACACTCAATATCCCCTGGAGGTCAGACCTCTAATTCTAAAGATGAGTAATCTCAGGCCTGGAGAAGTTAAAATGACTTGTTACATACCCAACAAGTAACAAAGGTGGGTCCAGAATCTAAGTTACATATTCAGAAACACAAATTGCTCACTTAAGTGTTCTACATAAAATCCTTTTCTGGGGAGTTAACAACAAACCATTAATAAACATATAAATAATGAACATAAGGCTTATTATGTGAAAACACAACTGATTTTAACGATGGTACCAGAGTATGAGGAAGCACACTTACTGGCATACAAAAATGAAAAACAGATTACTAAGACTTTAGTAATACGCCATATTGTAGAATTTATTTAAAGCTTTAATCAATTAGTACCATTTTGGAATAAATGATCTATACCTCATCAAGCGAATCACTAACCAGATGTGTCCGTCTTACTTTCATATTTAGAAATAACATGTTCATATCAGGTCTCTGTCTTCGAGATACTTTATCCACCAGACTTTGCTATTTAAAAAAGAAAGCAAACATTTTTACTTTTACTTAAACTATAATTTCATTTAAAACATTTTAGCACTGTAGTAAAAATCACTTATATCCTTCTCTATGCCATCTCTCATATAAATATTTTCATAAACTCAATTATACAAATTATTATTATATATTAATTGTATATATCTTTTCATTTTGAAGCAATGGTAACCAAAGGGGGGTTCAAAATATAGGACCAAAAATAATTCACCTTCTATAGTAAAGAATGTTGCATTACAGTTTCCATATGTCTCATCTCTCAAATAGCAACGCTATTTGTTTAGTAAGTATAAACATAAAATGGGAACATTTGAAATGAGGTATATACTATTGATGATGAACCTGGCTTAAGCTTTTTAGATACTGAATTTACTGGAAAAGCACAGTTAATCTACTTTTAGAAAGTAATTTGTCAACATTTATCAGAAACATTAACAATGTTAATACCCTTTGTCCCAATAATTCCACTTCTGGGAATTCTAAACACAAAAAGTATGCAGTGAAAAAAAAAATATGCTCATCACAGCACTACCTATAAAAGCAAAACTTTAGAAATATATAATATATGTATCTATCTAATGTAATATAATACAACTATTAAAATGGATGGTTATAATTATGTAAATAACATGGAAAATATTTAAGAAAGGTACAAGTGAAAAAAGCAGGGAACAAAAGTGTGTATACAAAATTGTTTCAACTCTATTGCCTTTTAAAGATAATATAGAGAAGAAATATCAACAGAAAATTTACTAAAATATTAACAGTTTGTGTATGTTATGTTTGGGTAATGGAAATGTCTGGGTAATGGAAATAGGGGTAATTTAAAAAAATCTATGGTTTTTCAAAATATAAGTAATGAGTATGTAAAAAACACATTAAAAATACCTATTAGAAATAGTTAAGTATCATAGGAAGTCTACATGCTTGTACAATTTATAGAATTTAATTTAATTAAATAATTCTTATCAGACTACTTCATCTTCTTTGGTAGGAAAGAAAAATTATTGTAGACTAGAGATGACACTTCAGACATTTTAAATAATGCAGTGAAGTGCTTTAGTAGATAAAATTTTAATACTACAAATCTGTATAAGGCTATGTCCATGATTTTGTAGATTACTATAATAAAACAGTCTAATTCAGAGCACTTCATTTCTCTAATTTAAAGGCTTTTAATAGTTTTGCTTTTTTTCTTCTTCTCTGGGTTCTCCCATTGATGCTCAGACAGATCTCTATTCCTGGGATGGTATCCTACGTTATGGGCCTATTATCCTACCCTTTCCTATGTTATGTTCATAGTCTAGCTCCTGGAAAGCCACCACACTGGAAATATCCAGCAAACAAATTTATACTAAGATGCTAATGGTAGACAAGGCTTAGTGGTTACTCTTCCCATCAGGAATATTGAATAGAAAATGCTTCGAAGGAAAGAAGTAATCCCTAGAAGGTAGAATTTAGATCCAGTCTGATGAGGAAGTTATTTTTGGTTGGGGAATCTCTTTTGCAACTTCAGATACCATATAAGCTCTTGTTTACATTAACTACCTGTAAGGCTGTCTGTCCTTGTGTCAATAGAATCACCAGCCATTAATTCTAAGTGGTGTGGCTGTTTACAAGTTAAAATGTTGGGAAACACCCATAAGAACAGATAATGCCACTTAACTCTTGAATCTCTCCTCACTTGTGTCCATGCTCCGTGGAAGACAGCCTGTGACAGAGTCTACAGCTGCCACTCTCCTTTTAATTAGAAGAAAATTCCATAAAAGGAGATATTTGATGTTTTAGGTGTTAAGTGACATGGCAGAAAACTGCTCAGAGGAATGGAGATAAACTTCTAGCTCTTCAGATTTTTTTTTACCAACATAAAAAAGTCATAGCCCAAAGTAAAAAAGTACTAAAAAGGCACATGAAATTGCATAAATGCAGCTAACAGAAACTGCCAAATGACTAGCTGTATAGACTAATCTTTGCGCCAATATCTACCCGAGATTAAGTAATAGTTCTGATGCCAAATATACCTGTTTAAATTTACTTTTCAGGGGGGAAGAGTGGCTTTGGAACTCCCTTGGTACACACAGGCAATAACGTTTCTTCTAATATTCTCATAGTCAGTGTGAGCTGGCTCTGGGATGTCACCAGTCACTCAACTCTTTTGTCCTGCTCTGTGATAGAAAAAAATACTCACCTTCTGGGAACTGAATTACCGAAGAATAAACATTTCTCATTTTTTAAAGCATTTTAAAGTATTATAATTTATACTTTAGGAATGTTTTTATATTCTTGGACAAGACATGGAAATCATTTCTTTTTATTTTGAGGATCTCTTTAAGACTACTGCCAACCTTCCCTCTAATTTTTAAAGTAGTGAGTGTCCCGAAAGCGGATACTCAAAATATATGGGCATTGAAATGTATAGTCTAGAGCTCTAATAAAAGAAAAACTGCTCACTCAGTCCATCTCTCTTAGATAGCATACGTAAGTTTTCCTGTGCTATGCTGAGACACGTAAGGACAGGCCCAGAGATAAACTTCATCCTGCTGGGTGGTGTGCCTACAGCCAGTCTGGCTGCTACCCCAGTTTCTATGGGTCTCCATGCCTTTTGGTTTCCTAAGAATCCATAAAACATCTTTCACCTCTCCTGGACATATTTCTCAGTTTCCCAAGGTTGTACATCTCCTAATTTTTGGGTTGTTCCTGTTTGATTTTCATAAAGCCTAGAACATGCGGCAGCAGTCTGAGCGGTGTGCTCGCTGTAGTATCTGCCAGTGCTCCGCTGGCTACCGTGGAGCTGGAATATGGTATCCATGGCATGATGTCCAACAAGTTCCCAGTACTTTGGTCTGTGAGAGGTATTGCATCTTCCTGCTCTATTTATAATATGATGAGGGGTATCTCTTTCCTGTATCATGAACAGGTTTAAGCACTTTTGGAGGGAGTTATAAAATGAATTTTACTTTTAACATTTCCTGATTATGCTAGAACAATTCACAAGACATTTGATTTATTTATTAAATTATTTACTATATTGATTATAGTCAGCATAAATATGTTTTTGTAGCTGGCTTACCCTTGCGATGCTTATCATCTGTTGTTCTGAGTCTCTTTGAATAATGATTTTTTTTGCAGCTATAGAAATAACGAATGGGTACTGACAGAAGGAAAACCTGCTCAACAAGTGAAAACAGAAAAAGCAAAATGGTGTATTTTTAGCAAAATTATACTAAGGGAGTATCTAAGGTACCCCTCCTAACAATATAAAACATTACTTTTGTATTGTGTTTTACCATTTACAAAATGACTTTATGTGCATCACTTCTTTTAATCCCCACAGCCTTGTGAAGTCCATATCATTACTAGACGTGCTGTGTGCTCACTCTCTAGAGGAAGCTACATCTAACATTCTGAAATGTACTAACCACGTATGTGGTTTACACAACTCATTTCAGTTTATGTACAGTCACCTGTAGATCATTACCTGTGAAAATATGGCCAACGCCAGAACCCGGAGGCAGAAGTACTCACGAAGGAGGATGAGGACAGAAAGTTCATGTGCAGAAATTATAAAAATCCATTATTACATGGATATTTCTCGTGTGCAAGCTTCAGAAATGAGGAAATCTAGCAATAACTACAGTAGTAAAAAGCAAAGTAATAAATTTAAGATCCATAAAATAAAAGTATGCTGCTGCTGGTATTGCGTGTAATGGTGTAATAGTATGAAATGGTATGTATTTGTAAAGACACGACATAATGATCAAAGGTCAAGAAAATAACTAACTTCCTCCCTTCAGAGCTGATCCCGTGTTACATAAAAAAGCCACAAACTACCCAGAGAAAAATGCATTTAGAGAGAACTAGTAGGTGACAGTGACACTTCAGGAGGCCGACTCCAGCGGAAGTGGCTGCAATGACTCCATCAGTTACAGCTGGAATCCATCCAACTATAGTCAAGCACTGGGTGTGAAGAAGGCATGAGGAGGAAACCGGAGACTACCGCCCTAGTGCGAACCACAAATAAAACAGCTTTCTCCGGAACGCAATTGTTAATAAAAGTCGTTCAGTACTAATGCGTAATAGTTTTGAATCACTAAGTGCTAACTAAAAATTTGGAAATGAAAGAAGTGCAGTGAGCTTAGTAGGGTATATCTTGGTCTTATTATGTATTTTAAAACTGTGTGGCTCAACCCTTCCCTAGTCATGCATAGAAAAATGATACCATGTGTGTGACACACTGAAATAAACAGATGTGGCTGCTCATTGCCAGAGGTGACTTGCCCTCGGGCTCCAGGTCCCCCTCTAAGTCCAGGCTGGCTTCCCCCAAACTGAAAGGATCACAGGATCAAGCCCTCTGTAGCTCCTTCTCGGAACACTGGTGCTGTGGCACAGTGGTTAGAAGAGCTCTGTATCAAAAGATGTCACTGAAATATGCACAGTAACTCTTGGAGTTGTTTCGTGGTTTTGTCTACAACACTGTAATTATATTAAAGTTGGAGAAAAAAGTGTCTTTGTAAAATAAATACACTTTGTCAAGAAAATACCCATCCGACAGAACCAAGTCCCCAGAAACAATTCTTGTTTAGTTCTGAGTGCTCAGATGTGGACTGAGATATGTCCAGAAGGCCAGTCTATGGTTTGGGGACAATTGTGACAGAAAGGGTCCCTGGCAGATTGAACCAATTTATAAACTAATCTGGGGTTTTGAGGTTACTTATATCCCTACCATATCTCTTAAGTCTCCTTTAGAACAGACACACTCTCCAAGATATCACATGGTCTGGGAAAAAGTTATGTTTGGCATAGTCATGCTGGTTTAATCCAAACTATGAGTGTGGATATAGGTGCAGCATATTAAAGAATTTGGTCAGGTGTTTTGAAAACCTATTACACTATTGTAATAAATAATTTGTGGTGAAGCCCTTTCGCTGTAACTCCCATTCTTTTTATATTGTGGATAAGGGACAACCACCTTTTCTACAGAATGAAGGAGAAAAGGAGTGAACTGTACGTGTGTATGTGCGCATGTGTGTGACGACTGTTTTACAACAGGCATTGGCAAACTATGGCCCATGGGACAAATACGGTCTACCACCTGTGTACAGAAAGTTTTCTGGGACACAGACACACCTGTGTATTTACATATTGTCTAACGCTGTTTTTGTGTTACAGAGGTATACCAGAGTTCGTAAAGTCCAAAGAGTCAACAATATTTACCATCTAGTACTTTACAGAGAAAGTTTGTGACCCCTGGACTGGATGACAGCATAAAAAAGAAGAATGATACCATGTGTGTGACACACATATAAGAAACTTGCATACTAAGATACAACTTTGCCCTTCTTGAAAAGATGTTGTTAATCAAACCAAAACCAAATTAACATGTACATAAATTCAAAATGTAAGAAAAAGAAAATGCTTTAAGAAATATAATGATGTTTCAGGGTTGGATATCTAAACTATAAGTTTATATATAAAGATATGTGCATACTTAAATTTATACAAATTTAACATCCAGTCATTATTTTGAATAGTATTTCATTTAGGTAAGTAATCAAAATGAGCTTCTGATTGTACCTGTGAGAGTTTCCAAAGCTCTGCCAGGTGTGGTATTCTTCCATGAGATCAATGTGATCCAATGTTGAATTATAGAAATCAGTATAAGGAATAAGGGGAGGATGAACCAAACTGTTTGCAGTATCTGTAAAGATAAATTCTAACAATGATCTTTTCTAACATGTGCATGATTCATTCTAATAAGAACATTTTCATGCTCACCAGATAGACTTTATCTAGAAATTCCCATTTTAAGCCAACCGTAGCTCCTAATTAAAAAAGTAGTTTTAAAATTGTGGTTCAGGGGACACCTGGGTGGCTCAGTGGGTTAAGTGTCTGCCTTCGGCTCAAGTCATGATCTCAGGGTCTTCGGATTGAGCTTGCAACCCAGGCTCTCTGCTCAGTGGGGGAGTCTGCTTCTCTCTCTGCCCCTTCCCCTACTCGTGCTCACTCTCTCTCTCTCAAATAAATAAATAAAATCTTTAAAAAAAATTGTGGTTCAGATGCAGCCAATCATTTCTTGCTTTTATAAAACAGCTTGTGGTGGGGATTAGAACAGTATAGTAAAGGGAGTACACAGGTGAGCCCCTCTTTACACTACTTTTCCATCAGTGTGTTCTCTCCTAGGAGTTCTTGGGAATCAACACAAGTGCCTGTTTTCTTAGGGGTCTCTACTTAGCAGGTCACATGCAGCAGATGGCCAGAATACAGAATACTGCCCAATAAAATGCATAAAGCTTTTTCATGCTATACATTAAATGTGAAATCCATTATCAAAACAGGAAAAAAATCACAACTCTTCACTTCAAAGGAAGGTTTTAAAATTTAAGAATGCCTCTACAGTACTTTGAGATCCTTACAGAAATGTCCCTAATATTTAACAAAAGAGAAGACAGAGTAATAAAACCTACTAAGTAAAGCCAACACTTTGGATGCTGATGGGATCCACCAGGAACACTTTGTTATAGGTGGAAATTCTTCAGGCTTTGCAGGAAACAGGCGCAAAGAAATAAACTGCAGCAATCTCTCTACCAATTGTTTGAACCTCTTCTGGGATAATCTGGTAAAGATTTTGAAATAATTCCAATCAAATCACATTTTCTATTTTGGCAATATGTTAGCTATCAAAGTGTATCCTGTACACATAAAATTTGAGAATATCCCCCCAAATTCTATTTCTTAAGTTGCCAAATATTTGAAAAGATGCAAATCTTACCTGGAGTATTGTTTCTTAAATAAGAAATAAACACCAAAATTACTATAACGTTAGCATTAGGCATTTCATTTTTAAGGCTTTCAATATTCAGTCAATCCTTGTTACTTAGACTCAGTATTTGCAAATTTGCCTATTCCTAAAATTTAATTGTAACCCCAAAATCAATATTAGTGGATCTTTCAGTCACGGTCATTTGCAGATGTGCAGAATGGCAAAAAATGTGAGCTGCCAGATGTGCATATTCCCAGCTGAGGTCGAACAAAGAAACACTCTGCCTTCTTGTTTTAGCTCCCATACTGTAAATGAGTATTCTTTACAGTTTAGTGTCATATTTTCCACATTTTTGTGCTTTTTAATTAGTAATTCTGGTGTTTTAAAATGGTTCCCAAAATGTAGTGCTAAAGTTCTGTCTAGTGTTCCTAAAGCACAAGAGGAATGTGAGGTACCTTATGGAGAATAAACTTGTGTTAGATAAAATTTCTTCAGACATTAGTCATAGTGCTGTTGGTCGCAAGTTCAATGCTAATGAATCAATAACTTCTATTAAATAAGATGTCTTTACATGCAATGCAGTAAAAATAAGATCATGTACTTATCGGTTGATGTGGATGCTAGACCAGCAGCTCATAGGAACCTAACCTAACCCTGTTATGTCCTGTAGGATCGATGATTCAGTATTTGTTAATTCAGTGTTAGCAGTGACTTTACAGAACATAAATACCATGAATAATGAGAGCCGATTTTATTTAAAATTAATTCTGAAAATATTTTGCCTCTAACATTTTATCAATCATGGAGAAAAGTCATTGTTTATGTGAGTATAGCTCTATGAAAAAACAGACTGTATTTTTTATAAATTCATATTGATGGCTAATCTATATTTTATGATGACGTTATTAAGTAAGGAAAAGGCACTATGTAATGGTGAGACTGATTGATATCAAGACTGATTGAAAAGGTACTATGTAGGGCGCCTGGGTGGCTCAGTTGGTTAAGCGACTGCCTTCGGCTCAGGTCATGATCCTGGAGTCCCGGGATCGAGTCCCGCATCGGGCTCCCTGCTCGGCAAGGAGTCTGCTTCTCCTTCTGACCCTCCTCCCTCTCATGCTCTCTGTCTCTCATTCTCTCTGTCTCAAATAAATGAATAAAATCTTAAAAAAAAAAAAAAAAAAGAAAAGGCACTATGTAAGTAATGGTGAGACTGATAGGAAATAAAAAGACACAAATTGAAATAGTATCTGAGAAAATCCGGTCACCATCTTGAGCTATACGAAAACCACTGACAGGCAGGTGCTGTGTAGTAAGCGAAAGCAGTGGATAGAAACCTCAATAACAGTTTGCACCAGCAAAATGGTTACTTGCTTTAAAAACAGATTTTTAATTACCCTCTCTGTGGTACTGAGGTATATGTTTATAATTGGCTTTGAAGTACTGTTAATTAGGAGATCATTTCTAAAGACCTGAAAACATTTAAATATATTTTATTATAAAATCACTAATATCAAACTTGAAACTGTATAAGAGTTCTTATTAATATGACAGAGTGATTTACTTTTTAAGCCAGTGAACCAGGAAATGATGATCAGCTTCCACTAAGGCAGCTATCTGTCGCAGCAAGTGAGCATAGATGACATACGTAGATGTATTACTGAATTGAGGATTCTGAAAAAGATATGACAGACAATTGTGTTAAAATTTTGTTAACGTGTGAAAGGAAAGACACTAAGCTTAATGAACTAAGTGGTACATTAGGAAACTAAATTTGAGATTATGAAATACTGGGTGAAATCCTATAAAACAATAATCTATTTGTTTAATTATTTAATTAACAGAAATTTCGATTTTGGCTGTGGTATAGCAGGAAGAGCATGAGCTTTGAAATTAAGACAGATCTGGGTCTGAGGACTGATTCTATCACTTAGGCGTGTTCCTTAAACTTTGATTCTCAATTTCCTCATCTTTAAAATAGGAATGATAATAGCTATCTTACTTGTTCTAAGTAGTAAAAAAGAAAATGTATGTAAGGCTCCTAGCTCCGTGCCAATCACTATCATCCAATTAAACGAAAAACCTGGTTCTTCCTTGATTAAAAAAAAAAAACAATGCTAGAAAAATGAAGTAAAAGCTGGTTGTGAAACTTCTGCCACTGTGAGATGAATTAGGTGCATGTCTCACAAAGAACAAGGAGAGAGCCACATCACAGCTTCGGACAACTTTCGAATGTCAAAGGGACACCGAAGGAGTTGCTCGAAGCCTCTAGTTACATCTCTACAACCTAAACTCTTATCACAATGTGCATTTCAGAACTTCATGGAAAAAAATAGTATCATTGAAAAATAAACTGAAATTGTGGGAACTAAGAGAGCACCATGTATTTTTCACCAAACTGATTTCCTGGCAAGGACAAATTCACAATGAGAGAGTGCCTCCTGCTGAGAGCCACCCCAAGTGGTGCTCGTGAGAAGGTACCATGGGCAGAGCTTACTGCTGACTAACAGTCTCACTCCCAAAATCTGAACCTCGGTTGTCATTTCTCTAGCTTTTACTATCTACATACATTTCCTCCCTTTCTTCTAGTTTTGCTTTTGTCCTTCCTACCCTCTACTTTCCCTTCTTATATCTTTCAACTACCTCTTGTCTACTTAACTTCTTTTTCCCACTTTTACTTTTTTCCTTTCTCCCCCTTCTTTTATTCCTACTGTCCATATTTCCTTTTATTGGACATAATATTTAACTAAATACTGTATCTTATTTAACATAATTTTTCTCACCTTTAAATGAGATAATAATATACACAAACACCTTTTGTAAATTGTAAAGACTAATACAAAAGCAGTATGCTAGCTATGTAATAACATACTTCTTTCTCAAAAAAAATAATACAAACTAGGGCGCCTGGGTGGCTCAGTTGGTTAAGCGACTGCCTTCGGCTCAGGTCATGATCCTGGAGTCCCGGGATCGAGTCCCGCATCGGGCTCCCTGCTCAGCAGGGAGTCTGCTTCTTCCTCTGACCCTCCCCCCTCTTGTGCTCTCTCTCTCACTCTCTCTCTCTCTCTCAAAGAAATAAATAAAATCTTTTAAAAAAAAAATACAAACTAAAAATTGCTTTTCATTTGTTTGGACCTTATTTTTTCGTATCTACGAATCTGTCTCTCTCAAGAGGAAAAAGTTCATCACCTTTGCTTTAGCAAACATAAGCAATCACTTTGATTTTTCCATTAGAATTCTAATGGAAGCATTTATTAAAAATACCTAGAGAAGTTAGAAACCTACTAGTTGGGAAATAAAAGAAAGTTCTGCAGCCCATTAAAGCTAGTTATAAGAGGTTGACTGGAGAAAGAAAAGGTGCTTCCATTCTGCTTGTTCCTGAATACCACAGCAGAAAGGCAAGAACTACATTAAAATTTTAATCCCAAAGATAATTTAGCTTCCCATTGTTTGTTATAACTTTAGTGCTCTGGTTACACTATAATAAAAAAATATCAATAATGTTGCACAAAGTAATACTTAGTACTTGATATTATTTCCCTTAACACATGCATAGACTGAGATTTGAATTAGACAACTTCAGTTCTTGCTTTCTTACCTGTAAAAGTATAAAATATGCTCTAAGATCATCTTTTGTTCGTGGACTATAAAAGAAATAAGCATAATTGATTACAGATTAGTATTTAATCTTATAGCATCTAACAAAAAATGATTAGTACATGTTTTTGTGAGAACTGCATTGGTAAAAGCCAAAAATGAGACTTAAGTTAGTATGTATGATTACTGAGACAGTAACAGATTCATAATATGCTGGGAATATAGGTTCTTCTGTGCTTACTCTTGGCTGGTTCTGAAGACACCTAAAAGATGAATTAAGTAGGGGTGCCTGGGTGGCTCATTTGGTTAAGCATCTGACTCTTGATTTCAGCTCAGGTCAGAATCTCAGGGTTGTGAGATAGAGCCCTGTGTCAGGCTCCGCACTCAGCATGGGGTCTGAGATTCTCTCTCTATCCCTCCCCCTACTTGTGCTCTCACACGCTTTCTCTCTCTCAGATAAATAAAGAAAATCTTAAAAGAGAAAGGTAAATTAAGTAGGCTATAACATTTTATGAGGTAAATATCATGACTAACTTGGGAAAGAGTTAAGAGCCTGATGAATAATCAACAATTTTAGAATACTTATTTTGTTTTAATAAAGGATAGTTGATATCTCATTTAAGAATACTGATGCTCTGAGGAAAGAAAATACGCTGTGTTTATATATCTATTTCTGAAGTGATAGACATAGAAATATCTGCAAATCAAATCACATGGTAAATTCATCTAGTATGTTTCTAATTAAATTGGAAATTAAATTAATATTTGAATACCTCTGAGATGTAACTAATTTGTAATTTTTTTCCATGTTAATCTGGATTTTCACATTGTCAAATTTGACCAAGAGTTTTTGTTATTCCCAAAGCTGATGAGTGTTTCTTTCTCACCCTCTCAGATTCTATTGAATACACTCTCAAAAATACTCTAAAGTAACTTCTTGAATTAAAAATGATTCACCTATAAGATTACCAGATTCAATTCATGATCCTTGACTGGGTCCAAAACCCAGATATTAAAGAACACTTTTGAGACAACTGGGGAAATTTAAATGTGGACCGCCATTTTAGAGAGTACTATTAGAAAAACATTAAATTTGTTTGGTGTGATACAGTGTTATGGTTATGTAGGAAAAAGTTATTAAGAAATACATGCTGAAGTAATTAGAGGTTAAGTGTCAAGATGTCTTCCATTTACTAAAAAAAATAATTATGCACACACTCATGCACAGGGAGAGAAAGCAAAAAGCAAATGAGGGATAAAAATTAACAACTGGTGAATCTAGGTGAAAGGTATATGAGTTTTCATTGTCTTTAACTTTTCTGTGGTTTGAAATTTTTCAAAACTAAATGCTGGGGGAAAAAAGGTTCATCTCTCAGTATCTCCTTGAATTTCCTTTAAGAAAATAAAATGACCAAATAGGGGCGCCTGGGTGGCTCAGTCGTTAAGCGTCTGCCTTCGGCTCAGGTCATGATCCCGGGGTCCTGGGATTGAGCTCCACATTGGGCTCCCTGCTCAGCGGGAAGGCTGCTTCTCCCTCTCCCACTTCCCCTGCTTGTGTTCCCTCTCTCACTGTGTCTCTCTCTGTCCTATAAATAAATAAATAAAATCTTTAAAAAAAAAAAAAGAAAATGACCAAATGATTACTTTTCTGTTATAATTACAAAACAAATCTGAAAACATAAACCACTGTCCCAAATGTACTAAATGACCTTTACAAAATGTAAAGCTACATAGTCTGAAATATAAATATATAACATACGTGTTAAAATTTGAAATATGTATACACATGTGTATACAGAAATGTTTAGTAACATTTCTTTGTGGAAGAATTATCTTGACTGAATAATAATTTAAATTGTTTACAAGGTTTCTAAACTATTTCTGTCTATAATAGTCTACATAATTGTCAGACTATTTTCTGAATGGGACTACTGTTATGTTTTAGAAATTACATTTGAAAATATTTTATTTATTTATTTAGTTTTAAGATTTTATTTATGAGAGACAGAGACAGAGAGAGACAGAGCACAAGCAGGGGGAGAAGCAGAGGGAGAGGGAGAAGCAGACTGCCTATTGAGCAGGGAGCCCAACACAGGGCTTTATTCCAGGATCATGACCTGAGCTGGAGGTGCCCGAATTTGAAAATATTTTAAAACACTCAGGGCAATTCATAAATATTGAAATTCCTGGTGATAGGCGAGCCCTATTTTTTCCATTTTATAGCAATACCATGACAATTTCCAAATTCCTGTCCCATGTACTAGTATTTTAATACAGTACACAGTTCTGGGCATTGAAGTTGTGGTTGAGATCACAGGCTCTTTGCCAGACTGCCTAGGTTCTAATCCTGACTCAGGCACTTACTGTGTTAACTTGGGCAACTTCTTTAACTTTTCTGTAAATTAGTTTCCTCCACTCTGAAATGAAAGTAATCATATTAACTATTTCATAAAATTGCAGTGAAGATTCAATGAAAAATACATGGAAGATTGTTAGAAAGGTGCCTAGCCCATAACAAACAGTCAGTAAACTTTAGATCTTGTTGTTGTTATAAAAATCCAAAATAAAACAAGACTTTTGGGTAAAGACCACATGCTCCTTTGATAGATAATCACATCGAATTATCATTTAATCTCTCTCAGGCACACTTCTGAGGAGCAGGGTTGGAAAGCAGAGAGAGTGTGCTTATGAGAGGGGACTCAGGCTGGGGCGGGGTCAGGCCACTGGGCTTCCACTTCTCTCAGGAGCTCTCCTACACTCTAAATCTCTCCATTTTCAGTGAAGCACTACGGGTTCAACCAAAACCATATAATTCAAGGAAAATGCAAATTTACTACCGTAATGACAAATTAGGAAAAATGCTATTAAAAATCACATCAAACTATACAGTATGATTTCATTTGTTTCAAAAAGGTGACCAGAAAAAAGATGGCAAAATGTTAACATGTTTACTTTTTTTTTTTAATAATACTAGCAGTGCCTTTTCTACATTTATGTAATAACCATGAATTTCTTTGAAAATCAGAGCAATGTTATTAAAAAATATGGGGTACATTTAACATTTAATAATTTTTTTAAAGATTTATTTACTTATTTGAGAGAGAGAGAGAGAGCACACACATGAATGGGGAGTGGGCAGAGGGAAACAATCTCAAGCAGATCCTCACTGGGTGCGGAGCCCCGATGTGGGGCTGGATCCCAAGACTCAAGATCATGGGACCTGAGCCAAACCCAAAAGTCAGATGTTCAACAGACTGAGCCACCCAGGTGTCCCTTAACATTCAATAATTTTGATATTATTTTTAAATGGGGCTTAATATAAACACTTGAATTATAATTTAATGGTATTCCTTTGGCTTTAGTAGAAGCTATTATTTAAGTTATATGCTACTTAAATAATATCATTTTAAATACTATGGACTTTTCAAAGTATATTGTTGTGTTCTGCATATCCATTGATATTCGAACATTATCAATTACATTGCCCATCATTCCTTATATAATGATTCAAGATTTAGTTCCAGGAAAAAAAATATTTCAGTAGCCAAACTTACATTTCCTTAGAAAAACTTTGCTCTAGCTACCAAGAAATCCAAAGCTAAATTTAATGTCCATTTAATTTAATTCTAGGTTACTGATGTAACTATGCATCCCATTTTTATACCACACATATATCTGTACATAACAAATTTTATATATAATTTTAAAGGATTCACAGATCCTGTGAAGCCCACATATAAACCCTCCTGAGAAGTCACAAAACTCAAGTTAAAAAGCTTTGTCGTAAGTGTTTTGTTTTGTTATAAATGGTTTATAATTTCTTTCTGATCTCTGTTTTTAAAACAACTAAAATCTTTTCTGAGAGTAAAATATATTCATATACATTAAAGATGTATGGGATGTAGAAATTATCTATATTGATTAGCTAAATATTAGTTAAAATTACCCTTTCCATTCTCGTAATAGGCTGTTAATGATTCCCTTTAATACTGTCTTCTGAATGTCTTGAGGCTACAGGCAAAAGAAAATCATAAAATAATTAGGATTAGGTACTTAGGTGACTTTTATATGTTATTTATATTTACAGATCTGTTTCAATAGTTAAAATCAGACTTGATGACCGAGGACTGCTTATGGTAGTATGATTTTCACATCTGAGAGCGCTAGAGCACCAATGACATAAGATTACAACGAGAATGCTCCCTGGGATGTGCCGTGCACAGCAAACTGCACAAACGTATATGGTGGCCCTTTGATGACCAACATTGGTTTTATATAACTGAAAAAATTTTTAGTTTCCTTGGATTGGCAGGATAAAATCAGGAACACGAGTCCAAGATTAGCATGTTTAACAATATAAAATGACTGCATATATTTAAATATATTTATTACTACCAGTAAAAAGTTATAATTAGCAGGTAGATCCACAATTCATTATTAAGAGCAATGAAATTATGTTCAATAAAAAAATAAGATTTTTTTTTCATTACTGGATTTGGAAAAGGCAGAAAAGGCATAAAATAACATTCCTATACAGTTTAAGAATTCAAATACTAAAAAAGAAATCTTATTTCCATTTTAGAGAGTTTCCCCTTGTGTTGTAGATTTAATTTTTTAGTGTCTATAAGACACTGACATCACTCCAAGTCAAAAGAGGTCAGACAAACGTCCTAGGAGTGGAACATTTTGGGTCACAGTATATGTATATGTATATGTATATGCTTAGTGTTAGTAAATAATGCCAAGCAATTTTCCAAAATGGTTGTACTAGTTTCATACCTCATCAGGGTATGAAAGTTCCAGTTGCTGCACAATATTGCCAATTCAGTACTTAAAAAAATTTTACTCATTTTGAACGGATGTGTAATGTTATTTACATTTCTCACATGACAATACATAATAATAATGTACCTTTTCATGTATTTAATAGTAAAATACTGAGATTAGGAATAAGACAAAGATGTTTGCTATTACTTCTTTTATTCAAAATTTTACAAGAGGTCCTAGCCAGTGCAATAAGGCAAATACTTACATCTATCCATCCATACATGCAAGATAAAAGGACTGAAGAGGTGAAGTCTCATTTTTCACAAATGACAGGACTGTCCATACAGGAAATCCAAATAAATCTATTGATGCACTATTCGAATTAATGAGTGAATTTGGTATGGTAAATAAAGATAAATATATGAAAGTATTTTTTTTAATTTTATTTTATTACGTTATATTAATCACCATACATTACATCATTAGTTTTTGATGTAGTGTTCCATGATTCATTGTTTGCGCATAGCGAAAGTATTACAATTCCATCAAAAAAAATCAAGTACTAGAACTAAATGTAACAAGATATGTGTAAGACATTTATCCAGAAAACTACAAAGTATCACCAAGAAAAACTAAAGAAGATCTAAGTAATTGGAGGGATATACCATGCTCATGGATTAAAAAAAAATGTCCACTCCTCACAAATTCATCTATAGCACTGTGGTTCTCAAAATGTGGTCCCTGGGAACTTGTCAGAAACACAAATGCTTGAGCTCTACCCCAGAACTACTGAATCTGAAACTCTGTATTTTAAGAAGCCCTTCCTGTGATTCTGATACATAGTAAAATTTGAGAACCACTGTAGATTCAGTGCAATGCCAATACAATCAAATAGTTTATCTCCTTTTGCTGGCTAAGTGAAGCATGATTTTATTTCAGCAAGCCTTCCTAAAGAAGGACTGGACATAAAAGTATTTTCTGCTTAATTCTCATTTAATTAAAAAAATATAAAAAATACCTAACTTTCTGAGAATTCCAACTAAATTTACTGTACAATTATATAATTATGTTACAAGGTGATTATTACAATATTTGTGTGGCTGCTTTTGAAATACAAAAGAGACAAAGAATTATACTGTTTGCATCTGTTCATAAATAATACTTACAGTATTAAGTAAGGCATCATATACAGCATTCACAAATTTAGCATTAATCCCAGAGTCTTCAATGGTATTAAAGGAGGCGGTGGCATCTTTCTGCAAATTCAATTAATGAATTAAGTGTATATAACATTTAAGGACTGTTCTTAGTAATTTTGAACCATAACTATTCCTTCATAATTTCTAATATTTTTTAGTAGGATGATGAAAAAGAACTTTTGGGCAAAGTTGCTAGAAATAAAAATGAATGTATAAGAATTATTTTAATCACTTTTTAATATTTATTTTTTATTATCATGTTCAATTAGCCAGTATAATCACTTTGTTTTTTAAAACTGAAAGAATGGAGTCAAACATCATCATTAGTACAAATGCAAACAATCTTTAAGATATCACTTAAGTAATATTTATTTGTGATATGTATACTTTCTGAAATTAATATGTATATATGTTTACACAGCTGCTTAAGTCAATATTAGGTAGAAAAAGAGCTAAGTTATTGTATCTTTTTTGGAAAATTTAAAACTAAAAGTGAAAAATGTGTTTTCTGTGTTATTACCTTAAATGCAGCATTTAGTTCTGGGAAAGAATCAAATGTTGTTAGATAAAAATCATGTACTGCTTTCCAATCTCCTGATGACTTAACTTTTTCCATATCTTCCCTAAAATGAAAACAAACATTCACTATAACAGATAGAAATATTATTCAGATAAAATAGCATTACTTCTTTAAAAATAAATGTCACCAAACATGTAATTTGAAATACTGAAGCTGAATACAATATGTTCCAATTATATAAATACAGTTTATGAACTTATAATTCTTAAATGGATCATGATATTTATTCAGCTTTCCATTTACTTGCTTTTTAGAAAGGTCATTCTTGACATGCTCCTCACAATTAACACTTTCTTTCCTTTACTTCATAGCTAAACTTGAGAAATTTTGTTTACTTTCTCTGTCTACTTTCTCATTATCACTTAGTCCTTCAGTATTCATTGGATTATTTTCAGTAGTGACATAGCTTTTATGGTTTATGTGTCACATAGTAGATGAAATAATATTTTTTAAAATGGAAACATTTTATTATTTTATCACCATCTTTAACTCCTTTTGTCTGTTTTAACTCATATTCTCTTATTTAGTGTTGTTTCTTTTGTTGCAACATTACCTACCCCTTATCTGTTATTTATACATTTGTTTTCACATTCAACTTGAGACATCTAGTCTTTTTTGTCTTCACTCTTGACCAATGCCTTACAATGAGCCACAAGTTCAATTTCTCACACAAAAATATTAAATTATGTAGAGTACTGGCATTAGATGACTATACGTCTACATATTAACAGTGAGCTGAAACTTACTGAAAGTCTTTCATAGTTTTGGACTGGTTAGGAAGGACAGATTCTGAAAGAACTGGGGCCTTCATTTCAGATGGTAATGCATCTATAGAAACACGCTGTTTTTGTCTAACATCAAGGCAAATTGGTGGTAGGTCTCTCACTGTGAAGTATAAAAAAGCATTCAATGTAATTAATAGTAAAAATTTTCCAAATTATAAAATGTCAGGCTAACTCAACATGAGCAGAAAACAAGTGAATTATTTTGTATTGCATTCACCTTGGGATCATATAACAGAAATCCTACCACAGTAAAGGGCATCTCCTGAAGGCTCTATTGCCACCAGTCCCTCCCAACCCCAACTTCACCCACAACAGATATTAGGCCATATCTTAAATTAAAAGTTATCCACAGATAAGATATAAATAAAGTTTATTTCCTTTGTTCCTTTCCCGAAAGTTGTCTTCCAAGAAGTATTTCAGTGAGGCTCAATGTTTTTAGTGTTTATTACCTTTTTGAATATATGTAAACCATTTATTTACATCCTCTGTAATTCTTTATTATAGTTTTAGCTTTTTAAAAAAATCAATTTGCATGACATTTTTCTGTTTTTTTCTTTGCAAATATCTGCCCATTCACTGTTTGCCTTTTTGTTGCATTTCATAATCTTTTAATTGTAAAACAAAACAAATACAGAAAAATCTGACAAAAGGAATGGATGGCTTAATGAGTTGTTATAAGACAAACACCTCTGAAACCATTAACCCGTTGAGGAATAGAGTCTTATCAAGTCCCTCCTTGCTCCAATTACCCAGATGTTAGACTTCCTATTTCAATTTTAATTTCTTTTTTAGCTCTTTTTCATTTCTTTTTAAATTTTAAACATTTCCTTCTTTTCATCTTCTAGTTCTCTTAAGGCATTATCTGGTATGTATGTTTGCTTTTGTGTTCCTTCTGTTTTATTTCTAAAATTTAAAAAAATATATATATATATTTTTAAAGATTTTATTTTATTTATTTGAGAGAGAGAGAATGAGAGACAGAGAGCATGAGAGGGGGGAGGGTCAGAGGGAGAAGCAGACTCCCTGCCGAGCAGGGAGCCCGATGCGGGACTCGATCCTGGGACTCCAGGATCATGACCTGAGCCGAAGGCAGTCGCTTAACCAACTGAGCCACCCAGGCGCCCCCCAAAATATTTCTAATTGTTTCCTATAAGTCCAGTTTTATCACTATATAATGTCCCCCTCTCTCTCCAGTAATTTAAGTCTACTTTATCTGATATTAATATAGCCACTACTATATATCTTTTCCCATCCTTTTACTTTCAACCTGCCTATATTGTTATATTTGAATTGAGTTTCTTATAGACAGCATACAGTTAGGTCATGTTTTTAATCTACCCTGCCAATCTCTTTTAATTGATGTATTTTAGACCATTTACATTTAATGTAATTGTTGATCTATTAGGGCTTAAGTTTGTCATTTTTATTTTATTTTTTTTTATATTTTTTAAGTTTTTCCTATCTTCTTGTGGGTTACTTGAACATTTTTTAGAATTCTATTTGCTCTAAATATTATGTTATATACACAAAACTTATCAGAGTCTACTGGTGTTATCATTTTACCAGTTGGAGTGAAGTGTAGAAATTGTACCTTTTATATCTCTTCACTGTTCTTGGTTTATGATTATCTTATCCTATAGGTAAGGTGTTGTGTTTCTCTGGCTGCTTTTCAGAGGTCTTTAGTTTTCATAGGTTAAATTATCATATGTCTTGACATAGATTTCTTTGGGTTTATCCTGTATGTGGTTTGCTCAGTTTCTTGAACCTTTAGGTTTATATCTCTTGCCAAATATAGGAAGCTTTCAGTCATTTCTGAGTACTTTTTCAGCCTACCCTCTTTCTCCTGTCCTTCCAAGACACCAATGACAAGAAGGTATCCTCTTTTGTTACAGTCCCACAGGTCTCTGAGATAATTCACGTTTTCTTTCTAGTCTATTTTCTGTCTATTGCTCAGACTGGGTAATTTCTACTGTTCTATATTCCAGCTCATTTATTCCTGTCTCCTCCATTCTGCTGTTGAGCCATCTACTAAGCATTTTATTTTGGTCATTGTATTTTCTCAAAATTGTTAATACTTCCAAACCAACCAAACAGGTGAATATTTTATATACTTTAAATTCTACAAGGTGAAATGTACATATGTAGAATTTAATTCTACTCTTATGTAATCAGGATATATTTTCAACTAAGCAAACATAGCTATTATCTAATCATCACGGTAGGAACATAGCTATAAGGTCTTTCCTTCCTTATCCACTCACCCAATCAAATATCTATTCTTGGACCTATAACTTCAATAAACTAAGATAAATTTCATCAATGTTAGGGTATATTTTACAATAAAATATCTTTCATATTAGAAGTTACTACAGAGATGCCAATTTCTTATAATTAAAAGCAATGATTTTTGACCTTTACTGTATATCAGAATCACATGGAGAGCTTGTTAAAACACAGATTACTAGACCTTTCCCCAGAGCTTGTGATTCAGTAGGTCTGGGGTGGGGCCCAAGAATTTGTATTTCTAACATGTTACCAGATGATGCTGATGCTGCCAGTCTGAGGGTCACACTGAGAAACACTGTTTGGTATTAGGAGAGAACAATGGTGCTGACAGTACAAAACATTAAATGTCTTTAATTCACTTCTATAACTGATTTTTATACCCTTTATTAAATACGGAAATATCCAATTTCTAGTAATTTTTACTTTAGGCACGTATTGGACAGAGGTTCAATTCATTAGCAAGTAAAATTAGGTATTTCTACAAATGATTTCTTATGTTTGGAAATCTTTATTAGTAAGAAAGAAATGGGCATCTCAGCAGCAAAGAAACAGATGATAGTCTCCTCTCTCCAACACTAGTCTTGTTACTAGTGAGGCTCCTCTACAGTTTCTCTTCCTCTTCACCAGGCTTACCCTTTCCTATCCCTTCCCACACACCTTTCCCAACCTGGCTATAAACACCCACTGTTAGATACACACAGACTCATTCAAATATAAATTAACTTATTCACTCACAGAGCATATATACACATTTTTATACCCACTCATTTTTATTAATACCATGCTGAGGTGGAAGAAGAGTGAAATTTTAGTTAGTAAGAGAACTGCATTTTGGCAAAGCCTGAGAGTGGGAAGATCTTATATAAGAGAAATAGTAATGCTAAGGCCAAGAGGATTATAGGGTGAAATTAGAACCAGAGGCCCAGACAGGATTTATTTTTAGGTCACAAGGTAACTCAGACTGAAGAATAATACAGAATGTTAACGTACTATGTAAATGGAACTTGAGTCAGAAAGAAAGGCAGATCGTTTGCTCACATTAGTGAATGAAAGCCAAACTACAGAATGTGACATTCAGCTATTAAGAAAGGAAGAACAACAGCTCACAGCTGCTCTCCTGTCCCTAAATACCAAGGCATTGTTTCCAGAGACAGGCTTTCAGTCTGGTTCTCACAGATGGTTATTAAAATCTAATTCAAACGAGAAAATCAATAAATGTGGTGATGAGAGATTAATTAAATCTCAAACTGATATTATAAATAGAACAGGCAATTCTTTGTTCTATCACATGCAGGTTTTTCTGCAATATAGAATACCATAAATACACTGAAAAAAAGCCAAAATATATTTATCAGTGAAAACCTGTCATTTTGGTTTCATTCAGCCAATACTTGGGAACACTGAGTGCTAAATTGATAAGCAGTAATCATTTCCCTTGCTTTTAATATAGTGCTGCCAATTTTAGTCGGTTGCTTAGAAACATTAAGTAAAACACTTGAAGCCAGTGCAAGAAGAATAAGAGCTCTGGTGGGGGCTGGAAGTATACTGAAAAAAACGTGAAGATCATAATACAACTATGTATAATGGTGTGAGATTATCAGCCAAATTTTGCCAGCTCACTCACTGTTTTCAAGAGCTATCATCAGCTGACTCTGGTTGGAAACTAGTAATATGTGGTCTTCCACAACTGTAGCCACCAAAATTAAGACTGACACTTTAAATTGGCGACATGATTGGGACGCTGAAGGCTGTTCCTGGCCATGGAGCACAGACGGCAAGGAGAGCATCAGAGGTAAACAAGAGTCTCTACGGAGGTTGGGTGTTCAGTAGGAGGACCCTGGGCCTGTTCCTTGTCCCTCTATTGCTGGAAAGGAATTACTGTTTTAAAAGGTCTGCTGCTGGTGACACACTGGTGCAAAATGCTATACTCGAAGCTTTATCCAAAAAATTTGTAATTAAGTAAATAATAAAGTAACAACAACAAAAAGCACCAGCCTTGAAAGTAAGGCACTTGGTCCTGTTGTTGGCTCAGTTACTAACTTTCATAACCTTAGACGTGTCACTGAAACTCCTTAGGCCTTAATTTTGCCATTATAAAATAAACGAAATTACCTACGTCAGCTGTTCCCAAGGTTCCAAAGAACTTCAAGGGCCACCTCATGGGACTGGCTCTGGTGGATGTGCTTATTCAGAGCAGCTCAGTTTTTCTCTGCCTAATATAATGATGCTCTAAGAAAAATTTTACTTTTCAGAAAAGTGTTTTGCTATGAAAATAAAAAAGAACAACAGGTTTGAAAACCACTAGTTTAATAATTTCTAACTTCCACCTCTACAACTATTTAAGAACAAAATGGATAGGACTTATAAACCAATCAAAAGAGTTAAAGACAATTCTCTGTTAGAGTGAACTATATGAGGACATCTAATAGAGAAATTGAAGCAGCATGGACACTTAACATGCATATGTCATCTAAACACCTGATTTTAGTTACGACTTGTGTTCTACAACAGGGTATAAGAAAAAGTTCTAAAAAAAGAGTCAAAAGATCTGGGTTCTCTTTTGGGATTTTACATTCACAGGATGTGGTCATTTTAAAATAAGTCCATAAATTCTTTTATATTCCTTCATGAAAAGATGGAGTCTAACTTTTCTCCCTTGGAATGTGGGCCAGCCTTAGTGGGTCCCCACTAATGAGAAAATGTGACAGAGAGATGCTGTAGGTTTTGTAGGTTACAAAAGGCAATACAATTTCTGCTTGGCTGTCTCTTTTTGGGGTGCTCGACCTTGGAGTCCAGTCGCCATGCTGTGAGGAA